GGGTTGGTTTTGTTTTTGTGTTGGGGGGGGGGGGGGGGTGGTTGTTGGTTTTTTTGTGTGTGTTTTGGTTGGTGTTTTTTTGTTTTTGTTTTTTACAGGTTAAACAGCAAATAATTTTGTACCTACGGAGAGTCAAGAAAAAAGCTGAGGTCAGCTATCAAGTGTGACATCAGAAAATATAAGCCATAATTGCAATTAGTTTAAAACCAAACCAACCAAACGACAAAACACCAGCCCCTCCCCCCAAGGACTGAAAAGACTGAATGCAATTACAGTCACTAAAAACACCTCTGCAAAGCAAAATCTCATCAAGACCATGAGTTTATTTGACCTGAGCAAACTCGAACATACCCACTACTCCACACCCAATCAGTGACACTCCTGAGGTTAAACGTACCACTAGACTGACTTCTCTATCAAATATTCCAGTAAAAGATTTCAATCACTGTTGAAGGCCAGGCCATGCCAACACCTACAGTACATTTATCCTAAGCCTTCTGCTTCCTAAGGGACCTGCTGGTGTTCCTACAACATGCAACAAAGCTGTTGTTCTCCATTCCCAGTGGAAACACATTTGCTCCTTTAAGTGGAAGTCACGCTTGCCTATCAAAGGAAGACAAATGTTTAAATAAATCAGCAGGACAAGAAAGTCTCTCAAGTACTATTTTTAAGTCTTATTTCACACCCTGTGGTTGAGATTCCATGCAAATTTAAACGTATGTTAGTAGTGTAGCTTTTAACAACAATTCAAACTAAGTATTTCTGATCTCAGATAAGAATGGCCAAACAAATACTAAAAAAAAGCCCCAAACAAAAACTAAAACATAAAAAAACTCCTAAAGCTCTTGTATTCTAATTTTCCCCCTTCTTACTGAAGTGATAGCAAATGAGTAGACAAGTTATTCCACAGTAATTCATAAACATTAAAAAAGTTAATACATTAAGATGCTTAACACAAGTTAGTTGTTGAGTTTATGAAACCAGTAAAACCTCTTTCAAATTAAGACAAGATTATATCCTCTCCTCCTTTTACAATATGACAATTCAAGTTCTACATTTAAACATGACATTTGATTAACTGCATGAAGTAGTAAAATTTCAAGGACAAAAGTTGTTAATTTTAGCAACCCATTCCTGTCTATTGTTAGCAGCTTATTTTTGCCTCTAGCAATTCAATCAGAGCATTTTAATAAATGCAGGTTGGATTTGTCAAAGTTACTGATTTGTGCATAAAGAGTGGAGAATTCATGTGCACATAACATGCTCTTTAGCCTTGAAATTCAGATCAGCATGGCAAAATAATCAACACGGCAGACACATTTTACTCCAAAGACTTTTATGGAAGAAACACTGGCAACTTATTTAACAGTTAATTTACGTAACCTTGCTTTCAGAGAACTTACATTTTTTTGCAGTGTGGACATTTTGCTAGTGTGTTAAACCTCAGTTCCATCCACTGTAAAAAGAAAAAATAAAAAGGTTGAAAAACTGGCCTGAGAAAATGTTTGTTGTACTTCATGCTAAATGTCACTGTGAAAACATTTTGCTTCTCAGGCTTTGACTTGTTTCTTGCTTTCTTCCATAAATGGGATGCCCTTTTGTCAGTGGCAACATAGGATTGGGATATCCATGTGAACATTTCCCATGACTTGCCTTAGTATTACAAGATTTGCTTGACGTAATGTGGTTTCATCCACAGGCGCAATATGGGCAACATGAGAATATTAATACATTTTTTTCTCTTACTTCCATAACTATGAATCTTTTTTTTTTTCTTACTTCCATAACTATGAATATACCCTGAATCAAAATAAATGTGTTTTTTTCTTTGGCACAGACAGATGCGTTTTCCCATCTTTAACCAATCGTGGCACCATTTGTGAAAACTAAGTTAAGTGCACACTGAAAGATCAGGTAAAGAGTATTTTAGCAAGTAGATGTCTTTATACATTTTATATCAATAAAATAGACAACACTATCGGCTACTTACATGGTATTTTAAAAAGGTCATATATAAAACTGTACATGGTATGGTCATAACCTTCCATGCACAGACTAAAACCTATCTGGGAAACCTTAGTGAAAGTAATGCCTAGAACTTCCTCAACCAGAGGATACACAGTCATGTATTCATTTAAAAGATCAGTTTTTGTTAAATTTCATTCTGTGATAACAGAAGTATTAAACAAGCATTTTAAACATGTTCGTGGTGAACAAGGAGATAAGATTATTGTTCTTTGCTCTAAGCAGTCCTACTGTAATTGTAGCTCTCTTCTGCTGCCTTTCTCAACTGGGGGTAGTTAGCACAGTTTCCTGGTGAAATACAGTTCTCCTCTCCCCTCCTCTCTTCATTTATGCAAAAGTCACACTGCAAGTTACTAGCAGGGGAAGAAGCCAGAGCTCAGATTAGCAATGCCTCAATTCGGATCCTCCTTCTCTCTGTGAGAAGTTGGCCTACTGAAGCGAATAGTGTTGTTATAACTGCAACAAACACGAATCAAAATGAGAGTCCATCCTTGTATGGAAAACAGGATCTACCTACAGCACGGCACCATTTAAACACTGAGAAGAAATTTATGGGTTTATGTGCAAAGAAAAGAGGATGTGGCCTGTAGTGCCTTGCCAGTATGAGCAGGCTTTGCTGTGAGCAAGGTTCTGATCTGTAGTATTTAGAGTTCATTTTCCTGCCTCTTGAAGGTCTCCCTCAGTTTTATTTACTTCTGATGGGGATAATTATCCACGAAAAAAGAAATCCATCTTTTTCTTTTTTTTTTCTGGTTCTGAAGCATCCAATTACAATACCAGTTACATAGTTGTTCTCTAAATTTATTTGTTTACAAAGACTTGGCCAAACTGATTTAGCATAGTTCTGTTTTATCCCTTAATAAAATGAAAGCCTCTGTAATACTTCCCACCTCAGCAACGTGTTTTAGGAGCATTAATTCTACTTCCACATTCCTGCCAGAGGAGCAAGTTAGCCATCTGCCTGCATCTCTGTCAAAACCTACTCAATTTCCCTTAGTTCTACACAGTGAAGTGGGATAAGGTGCAATTGTCAGTACCAGGGATGGAGATGAGCCTCTTCAGAGCTGTTCTTTTAGCTTTTTAAACTGCAATTACAGAAATAGAAGGGAGTCTAAATCCAGGACTTACATTTTACATATTTGTAATTCAACTTCACTTCTGTACACTAGTTTTATCCCAGCATAGGCAACTTTATTTCCAAAGTTACTCATTAATGATCTTCCTAGGGTTTTAAGATTTCTGATTATTAGCCATAATTATTAATGGATACAAACTCAAATGTCCTTGGGCTCCAAATATTGATGGAAAAAAGAGGCATCGATAATCTGTTTTCCTTGAGAGTTATCTGGAAGTAACAGAAGCACTAACTGTTATGATGCCTTCTGCACATACCGGAAATATTTGCAGAAAAAGAGCAAAAATGTGACAAGACATTCGAATTACAAGAATTCAGATCACATTAGCACAGTGGGGAAAGGTCATTTTCATGTACGTTCTAATTAGTGGAGCTTTGGTGGGTTTAACAAGTAGTTTAAATCGTGCTTAAAGCTGGTATTTTTACATGTATTCCATAGTGCTTTAAAGTACCTAAACTTGTTTCATGTTAAGAAAACCTGAGGTTACAGTTATATGAAATTTAGCTTTCTGCTGAGTATACAAACTGTATTTTTCTAATTGAAATGATACAACAAACAATAGTTCAAATCCCTGGTTAGATGTACTGAAACACAGATGAAGATTTCAGAGAGCTCTTCAGTATTTCAACTGTGGACAAAACCAGACATCCATCAAAGGAATTACTAGAAGAATACATGAAACTTTCTTCTTTCTGAGCCTAAAATAGTCCTCAGTGCATTCAGTACAAGACAGAGGGAAAAAAAGTAAAAAAACAAACCAACAACAACAACAACGCAAACAAAAAGACATATATACATAAGTACACACCCCGCCCACATACAGCTGCTTCTGCCAAAAGCAGCTTCCCCTCCACTCTGCCCAGGTCCTTTGGGAAAGCAATATACTTCTGCAGATTAAAACATTTCTTAGTTTTCTAAAGAATTTAAAGAGTTTTCCATTCAATTATTTCAGAAGAAATGATTCTCATATTTGATTAGTTTTAAAAAAATAAAATTGACAGAGCACAACTGACAAAGCACAGTGCTTAGCCTACAGCCTGTGGCTTCCATCGCTTGCTCCTGGCTTCTTGTCCTTGAGGGTCTCTCTAAAAGCAGGACGGTAGCAGGAGGATGGCAGAGCGGGGGACAACACAAGGACAACCCTCCCTTGCCCACCACCATTTCCAAAGGCAACTCAGCCCCTGACAGCCACGTATCATCACAGGCAGAGGGCCCTGGGCAAGTGGTTGTGGGGAATGACTTACTGCTGGCAGAAACAGTAACTCAGCCACAGCCCAAGTCCAGAAGCTCTCAAAAAAGCCCAAACTGGATCAGACTGATGTAGCAAGACAGTAAAACCCTCGTCCTGCCCTCCTTTTCTATTCCATCACTTCTCTGAACTCCGTATCTGCCAGAAACAGTGAAAACCTTAACGCAGAAAAGACTCCTGTCAGGTTAACAAGGAAAAAACATAATCTGATGAACAAAATGTGAACATCTAGTGATAGTTCAGCTTACGCTATCACTTCAATACCAAGTCATTCTCCCAGCTAAAAACTTTAAGGCACTCCATAGCATGGAGCATGCTTTCAATAATTTGTAAAAAACACTCCCCACATGTAGAGGCAGGGAAAGCACAGCCCATACTTCTGCTTTCATATGGAAAAAAAGAAAAAATAATTATTGGAAAGGCGGTGAACAAGCTGATGCTCTTAAAAGAACACAGAACAAGCAACTGACAATTTGACTTTTCCACCCCAGGGATTCTAGCTTTCCTTGTCTATTTTATTTATTTTTTAACTGCCAAGTAAAGTAAAAGAGATACCTTACTGAGTTGCTGAGAGATGCATCTAGCATAACATATTTGCTTTACAATGTGGAGATACCAAAGGGCAGAAATACCATCACAGAAAGTGAGTTTCCAGGCTGGCTAAAGCACTTCTATATTTTGCTTCTCTGCTTACTCTCAAATCTAAGCAACTTCCTGATTTTTCTTAACTAAACATTTTATTTGCAGAATCTCAAACTTAGTAACAGAAAAAGGTAGAAGCAAAAGTGTGGTGGGAAAGCTGTGTAAAGTGAGAAAAAGGGGGTGGTTTCTTGATAACTCAGCATAAAAGAATACAAGCTTCAAATTTCTAAAGATTTTGAGGGTTTCTTTTCAATGTACCATGAAGTGGTAAATTGTTCTTACTGGCAGACAGGACTACAAAGTTCAAAATGATGAAGTTCCCTAAAGCAACCATCAGATCTGAAGTCACATGAACAAATTCCAAATTAGAAAATTTAGCCTTTTAAGGCATAAGGTAGCAGTTATGAGCAAAACCAGCCTTTACAGGCTTGGTTTTTTCCCCCCTCCTTATGTTCACCTAAAGTAGTTCATTGTGTAAACTACAGAATTACTTTGGGCTGCACTTACAGAAAGCGAATAGGGGATAAAGACAAGTAAAACTCCCATGCTTATGAAAGGCCCCAAAGAGAGGCCAATAATTTAGCAATGAGAATTTTACTTCATAACACTGACTCTCTCTAATTAAAAAAAAAATTAAAATCACATAATAGAGATGGTCTTTTGCGTTAAGAGACCACATTAAAACTTAATACTGTAACTGTTCTACAGCACTGCTTTTGCCTGTGCAGTGTTAAAGCTGTGCTAAAAAATATAATTGCATTACAAAATTAAATTATGACTCTGTATCAAACTACAGAGTTTATGCAGGTACTTAATAGTTTTTAACATGCTACTATATTAAAAAAACTAAAAGAAAAGCCAAGCTTTAATAAAAGATTCCTGGTTTAGAATATGTACTTGACATGGTGTTTTTCTTCCTTAGATCCAGTAGTTTTCTGTTAGCAATATTATTCTGTATTGCATACAATGTTCTTACTAGTTAAAGTCACATACAGCCTTGCATTTAAAGAAAAAAAAGCAAACTGAAAACCCACTTGAGATATCTCCAGTTACAGACTACTGTTCTTCAGAAAGGGTTATAACAGATTTTATTTTTTTTTAATATATAGGCGGAATTAGTAGATAGAATATTTCTCAAGCAGCTAATGGTTTCTCAGCACATTACTTGTAAATTCATAATCAAATCCCTAGTTTCCCTTTAAAAAAGGGCCATCTCCTTCTCCCTGCATTCATCATCTACTATAGTCGTTAAGCCATTACAGCACACCTCACTGATCCATAAACCTGAAGTACAGATTAGAAGGCACAAGTCTATTCCATTGCAGAGCCCATCACAAGTAAATCCTCCTCTCACTGCTGATACAAGCCAACATCGAATGCCATCCCCTAAGCTTCCTTTTTCCTTTCACAAAATGCCCTCAAGTATTCTCTGGCCTTTATGTATCTTATGATCCTTTGTTTCAGGAATGTAACACCACTCTGGTGACCATGCACATCCTTCAGCTGTACCATTTATCTTAGCCATTTCCCGTAACTCACAAGCCTGACAAACATTCAAGCACACTGCTAAATCATGAAACTAAAGCTAACTTACTCGCGTATTGCAATCAAAATTCAAGTATGGTAGTCCCTTGTCCATGTAAAAGGCTGCAAACAGTTCAACAGCAAAAGAGTATTCTTGAATGCTTCCACTTCAAAAATGGGATCAGCTGTCAGCCTCACATATAAACCAAAATCTCCAGTCGTGTAACAACTGAAAGATACGCTAATGGCAAATGCTATAATGAACACCTTTCAGGGGTCCATTCAGCAATGGCAGAACTGCTTTCTGAGCCACTGCAGAACATAACCATCATTGCAAGCCTAAATAGAACTGGGAAGCACAACTTCCTTTTCCAGCACCATCCCCTCTTGCATCACTAACCAACAAGACTGACTTCGGGCTTTATCCATGCATCCACAGAAAGACTGCTAAAAGTTTTCTTGAAATGCACATAAAGATAACCGAATACAGACCATACACCCATAGCAATACGAGCACAGAAGAAGTTTTAGTTCCTCAGTGATGCCATAGAGTGAGGCAATATGCTCTTGAAAGTGCTTACAACAAATAGCTTGAGGGATAGCACAGTGAGGTGAGAAAGAGAATCTGGTGCTTTACTTACAAGGAACGTATTTCCACAGTGCCCACATACCACTCTAGTTCCGTCTGGTTGAACTGGCAAGGCAGGCTGAGCTGGCTGCTCTTCTGGGATCAGCATTACTGGACCAAGAGTAATGATGCGTCTACTGTGTTAAGAACATTAGATGTACATGTAATTAAGCTAGCAAAAGAGAGGGATGATGCGTTTAAGCAATTAGCTCAGTCACTACCAAATATTTTACACTTTTAAACTATAATCTGCTTTTTAAAATAGATAATGCACCCAGTTTTGGTCTCTCTCCAAAGTGTTTTCCTTTTCAGTTTTGAAAACATTCTCTTTCACTGTATGATCAGCCATGCAAGCCAGAACCCTGTAGAGATCAAAGACTTGCCATCATATGGCAGAAACACTCCTCAGCAAAATGAAATCTTAACGCCCAGGCTGAGCAAGCCCGTGAATTAGAATGTACATACCCACGTGAAACATGTAGAAAGAGTAAGGACTCTTCCACATCCTAGTCCTCCTTCCCACACTACTGACAACCATGTCAATGTAAGCAGCATATTCACATTTGTACAGTAAGAATTCCATTCAAATTGAGTGAACTAAAAAAGAAAATCACCCCAGGTTGACTAAATGCAATCAAGTTACTTCAAAAAACAGTTTGTAAGTATTTGCTTTTATGTTCAGTGTGTTTCCAGTTTAATCATACAATTTGTCCGTCCTAAATGACAGTACCCAAATTAACGAACTCAAAGCAGAATGAGGATGAGACTTCCTAGTATGAAAAAAGTGAAGCAAAAAATTCAACTTGCACTACATCTCTCTCCATATACAACCAAACTTGTATTCTGGATGGCCTCCCTTCAATCTGGAGCCTTCCATTTAGGGCATACTCCCAACTCTGTCCTTCAAAGTACCCCAATTTTGCTCATTTCTGGTAAGACAAATACATTGGCTATCTTAGGGCAATTGCTGAGATACATGCTTTTGAGATTATTTTAATAAAATTCAGGAGTTTCTGATTCAGCTTGGCTACCAACCACAGGATCTATTACAACTGAAGTATCCCATGAACATTTTTTTTTTCTCTCTCAGAAAATGTTTGTAATGTTTTGAAGTTTTCCCCAACACTGTATTATTTAAAACAAAACAAAAAAATCTCCCCCCAAGTCTCAAACTATGTTTCAAAACCAGAACAGCCAACAGACTGGTGATTAGGGCACTTGGTGTGGTAGAGCTCCCGTTCATGTATCTGCAGACCTAGCCTTCAATGCAATTTCTTCTGTTAGAGCTGCATCACTTACAATCAAATTACTCCTACCTCAGCGGGATCTTTAACACCCTAAGCCCAACAGTAAGAACACTCACAATGGCAATTGTGCTTGTTTCTTTTATAACTAATGTGTAAATTAAAGCTGAGAGGAGACTGAAAACTCATTGTAACAAAGAAGGGAGGACAGGACTGAAGCCAACCTACTGCTCCCTCTCCCATTTCAATCTGAAGTCCCCACTCTGAACTAGGCAAAGTGAGCAACCTGTGTGTTTATAATAATCATGTTTGCAAGAACTTATGAATGTTAAGTCCCAGAAACAAGAAGTGATTTTCTTTTCCATTGTTCTTTATACCATTTTTTCTCCTTATGAAGTAGCTAAAATGGAAAACACACATTTAAGACTACCGCTAAATAAAAAGAAAAATTTTTCCTCTTTAAAGTTAATTTAAAAAAAAAATAAATCCCAAATTGACACTAGCACAACCTGTGTCTGCAATAATTCAGTAATGCTCTAAGTGTCCATGTACAGAGGCCCAGGCTTGAACCTCTTTTAGTTTTAAATATGCAACACAAAGAGCACCATTACTTTAAAGAAAACTATCTCAAGGCACTTACAGGTTTTTATTCTTACCAGTTTGGTCTTGGACAGCCTATTTTCCGAGATGTATCCTTACAGATAAGGAGACAGTTACATTGACATCTAACATACTTCTTCCCTGAAGGAGGGTTTTTGATTGGCTAAACAAACAAAAAAAATCCACCAGAGAACACATATCAGAAGTCATAGCAATTCACTTTTTTCCTCCTAACAGTATGACAAAGCAGAACAACTTCAGTGAAAAGTTCTTGCTAACAGAGAAATACAGTTCCTCCTACAGAGGAACTTAAGAGTCAAGACAAAATTAGAAGTTTTCTCTCTCTTCCCAGACAAAGAAGTGCAAATTTCCTCACTAGAGCAAACAAGAGATTCTGCACACTAATGGAAAAAATATTCATATTTTAGCAATGAAGAATTCAAGACTTCAGTTTAGTTATTTTTAAAAATGTGAGCTTAAGTAGTGGTATATTTTTTAAAAAACAGTCAAAACGTCAAACAAGCCTCCTTGCCTGGTACAATGGCTTTATTCAACAGTGAAAGGATCACAGTCTGGTTCTCAGTCACTAAGACAATATATAGACATCACTGTACTGTAATCTTATTTTAAACTGTAGTGAAATTATCTTTCTCCAACCTGGGAGTCAAGTTTCTGGGTCCTTTTCATACAGCAAATCAAAAGCTGCAAGATAGTCCGGCTTGAAACATTATATATTGGCAGGGAAAGCAGGTACTAATGACAGGTTCTCTACTCTCGCTTTTAAGTGGAAAAAAAATAGTTTTCCTACAGTTTTAAGCCTTCCTGTTTTCTGAACATTTTTAAAGTTCTTTTCATAAAATAAATCCAATCCAGTGTTTTTCATGCAAATGCCCCCAGTAGCTGTGGAGTGTTGCAGTATCAGATCCCAAAACTAAAACTGGCAGGAAGGAAAAAGATAGAAGCAGGAGGCCAAATACTGAAGACTTGAATAAAGAAAAGGGGAGGAGGAGCAAAAAGGTCTGTGATCACTGGAAAAGGACCTACAATTGAGGCATTTCAAAATTGTTGTGTTGTGGCTTGTTAGCAAGCTAACAACTTGACTGAATAGTATTGCAGGAGGAAAGCATACATCCAGGGAGATGTGTGGGTTAGTTACTTTGTTTCTTGCACTTTTAAAAATTCAATTCTTCATTTCTGTTCATCCCACCAAAACCAGTTTCACCTTTCTTTACAGAAGAGTAATCACTTCAATAACATCTTTGCTTTTTGTCCTTCTCGGAAGGAAACATCCTACGCAGCCAGCTCAACAACATGAAGATTTATTCTAACTGCTTATGACCATCCTTGTGCCAGCAACCCTTGAACTTGCACGCTGGCAACACTAGCAGTCAGCTGCACTGACAGGTCCTATGCAGGAATGGCACAATGGCACTTGTCCTTTGTAGGCGAGGACATGAATTCTACCAACATACTTAAACATCCCCCCACAAAAATAAAATGCTAAAAATCCATTTTACCGTAGCTTCATTGCAAACTGTGCACTTAACAACATGTTGGTGTAGCTTGCCATCCAAATTGATTAGGGACTGGCACACGCGGCAGTTTATTACAGGAACACCGCTGGCATCTGGACTTGCAATGGCAGTATACGGAGGAGGAAGCTCTGCTGCAAGAGATCAGGAAATCTCAGTTGAAAAAACAAACAGGGAATGCTCAGACACCATCAGCAAAAATAATCTACAACAGTCACAGCCTCAAAAAAAAAACAAAACACAAACCCAAAGTTAACGATTACTATAAACACAAGACAAATTTAAGTTTGCTTTCCCTTTCCCCACAACTTCTGTTTACACAAACATCAACTGTAGTTGTACAGAAAGCATACCAGCAACACAAACACACAGTAAATCACCCCAGAAAAGTGGATCAGACAAAAGGCTCATCTATGCAACTTTATTTTCAAACCAACTTTTTACAGTCTTTAGAAAAGGGGGGGGGAACAAACCAACCCCAACCCACCACAGATTAGTAGCAACCAAAGACTGGCTTTTAAAGAAAAAAAACCCCAGAAGATAAAACAAGACACAAGTAGGCAGAAGAGGCATAACTAGCATCTACAAACATCTGGACAGACTGAAACATAAACAAGAGTTTATCACATAGTAACAAATACTACAGGTAAAAATACAGAAAAGTCCTGTTAAGGAAACAGGTCTTGGATGGCAAGTGACATGAAGTGCTTCTTTTTTTCTGTGCAACAACAGCAAATTTATGCTATCTTGAAGAAAAAAAGATGAAGTGAACCCTCAGCGCTTCTGCTTTTAAGGGTTCCAGATATTTCTGTTGTCCAAGAGCTAAAGCATGGATGGACAAGGAGACTTTTAGTCACACAGGACAGGCTAACACAATGGAGAAAGTAGTGGCCTCAGGCCCCCACGGAAGAGCAAATTTCAGGTTTTTTTGCCAGTCCTGAGCCCACGACAAACCAGGGAGGAAACACTCAAGATCCTTCTTGGTTTAAGAATCCACGGAACGAAAACAATTAAACACAGCAGCCTCTCACAAACTTCTTACCACAATTATTTGGCACATAATGGCACCAGCTTTTGTTTCATTGAGAAGTTCAGGGCTCTTCAGGTAAGCAGATAAGGAATGGGCATATTTAGTAGTTCATAGTTAACTTTTTTAATACTAATAGTTTGAAATACTCTGCAGCCTTGGACTTCAACAAATTATTCATAATTACATCCAAGCAGCCAATAAAATCTTCAGAGAAGCAATGAGAGATCAGCCTACTTTCAGTTTACAAACAGCACTAAACAGAGCAGTATCTGCTCGGGGGAGTGGCAAGGGAAACCACGGGCTGCTATCCAAGCTGACAAGCCCAAGTATTAAATTTAAGCCTATAAGAAAGTACTCATTACTTCTTCACTCTGTTTTAAAGTGGATGTCATAAGCTGGAGAGATACAAGAAACCCTGCCTGCCCTTCAGATCCCAAAATCACCACAAACCTTTGTAGCAGCATTGCTGTTCAGTGCTCTCTCTCTTTGCCACTTGGCCTACAAAGGATCTGGACCCATACTTGGTTTTAACTCAGAGGCAGCAGAAGGAAGGTGGACACCCTGAGGGTCTCAGAATCGCATCCAACATACTTGAAGTATTTCAGACGAGAAACAAAATTAACTTATAAGCAGCAATGCAATTCTGAAGTCATCATACAAACTGATGCTCCGTCAAGCGAACTTCACACCTTCAGCTTTGACATACTGGTTGCAGAAACCAACATCCTTAAGAAATAACAGGTAACTTAAGAGTGTTGTTCCAATTTTTTCTGTTTCTGAGGAATTACATTCTGAGAAAATACAGCATCCAGTCAAAAATTTTTAAGAATAACAATATTTTGCAGTACTCTGATACCATATTTTCAGTACAAGGCTGCCACATGAAAGAGAGGAGATACTACAAGATATTAACAAACAAAACCAACACACGCAAGACAAAACCCCAACCCACACACACTTTGGCAACTGAAAACAATCTCAGGCCTACCAGACCATTGCAGAAACCAGCTCTGAGATTTGGATGACGGGAACAGCAGTGTCTTAGCTGGGAGTGGCAAAGCCAAGGCTGCTGCAAGGGGGTTTTGGCCGTAAGTGGGCTGCTCACCTGCTCCTGCAGCAAGCAGCTGATGCACTTTCTGGCTAGGAGCAGAGGTAACCATGAAACAAAAGCCATGTCCAGCAGACAGAATACCAAATTCTCTGTCAAGACACCCCTACAGTTCAATCCCGGCCTTGAGGTCGCTTTTCTGAAGAGCAACAATCATGCTACAGAACTTCTTTGCTTTGTCCTCTCCATTTAAAGTGCAACTTCTCAACTCTTATCAGCTGGGCACAGGGCAGCTGTACTAAGGCAAGGCAACCAGTATCTTGAAGGGTACCGGGAAGTCAAAAGAGACACAAACACACCCCCCCCCAGCCTTTCAGCTTTCCACAATCCTGGGATGCTTTAAGAACTGGCAACTAGACCCTTCCAGACATTTATAATATTCTATACCCTACTTGTAAGTGACAACTCTTAGAATTTTGAAAGTTGGTTAAATGAGGTGTGCGAGCCCCTACAGACACTGCCAGCCACTTCTCCAGCTTCATACTGGAGCTGCTCAGCTTCCAGGTAAGCAGCCTCGCTGTTCCTGTCCTGCTGGCTCAGCAGATTTCAGATAGCAAGCAAATAATGGCTGCTTTTCAGAGTGGTGCTGCAGCAAATAACATTTGCCGTGGAGCAGAAAGCCAGAGGTATCTTGGCACTGCAACCTTCATGCTTAAAGAAAACGTGCATTTGGAAGAGCTCCCAAAAATAAACCGGCAAAAGCCACCAAAATTAAGTTTAAAGAAAAGTATACGGGGAAGGAAGTGAAAAGGAAAACAAAGGCACTCAGAGCTCACTGCTCATTATCCCTTAATAAAAAGGTTTCAGAGCACATTAACATACTTTGGTATGGCTTTTTTTTGACAGCCTGAATTTCAGGCTAACTATAACATCTAAAACCCGCTCATAAAGGTCCATCATGTTGGATATGACTGGATAGTAGGCAAGTTTCATGTACACACCAGAGATTTCAGGACACTTTTGATGATACTTAGTTTCCTGCTGCTAACCTACCAGTTTACAGCTATATTATCAGTTTTTCTTTAAAAAAAATAATAAAATCCAACGGTAATGAGTTCAGCACAATTAGCAGAGTGCCCTACCATGCAGTACATCGGACTCCAACCTACAATTCCCTTCTCACCCCCACAGGATAGAGATGCAGTAGAAGACATCACATATTCAACCTTAGAAATTCCTTGTGGTGCTTCCGCACTTTCCTCCCTCGGTATTCGAAGGGCAAAAACCACAGGGAACCACTTGCAGCTTACCTCAGTCAAACAGAAATTAGTTTGTTTTGGGCTTTACTTTGTTTATTTAATTAAAAAAAAAAATTAAAAAATGATTTTTGAATTCTGACCTGGGAGAGGCCGGGTGAGGGGAAAAAGAGTTAGCGATCTGTCAGAGACGGGTAGTTAAGAACTGAGAAAGCCTGGAAAAAAACCCTTAAAAAAATTTTAAAAAGAGGGGTGGAGGGAAGACTGAATAACCACCCTGCTACAAGGAGCAGAGCTGATGGTGCCACCCCCAGTCTATGTGAAAAGTACCTTAAATACTGTGCCCTGTGTCCACATCAAAAAGATTTTCCTTGCTTGCTTCCATCATTAGGAAGAAACACTGAGCCATTACCAGGATTCAACCACCCACCAACTTAGACTAAAAAGGGTCAGCTGAGTCTCAGCTGCAGCCCAACAAGGGAAGAGGAGGCTACTTTCAAACCATGGCCTCTCCGATTTAAAGCTCAGGATGCCATATTGAGCACAGTAGATAATTACAGGGATAAATCTATTAGTGTACATTCAGATGGTAGTTTGGAGGGCGAAGGGCTTGTTTCTCCTTCCTCTGCCTCCACAACTCCACACCAGTCAGGTGGTGTTAAGCAAGGAAGCTCTGCAGAAAGGGGTTTGGAAGCAAACCCTAACTCCCCACGAGAATTCCTCTTCCCTCTATGTCCAGACTTGCGCTAGGGAGAGAGATAAAGGCTGCCCGTTAGCTCAAAAGGCGGTTTAGCTTGCACAGATCCTTTCACTGAGGATAACTGACAGAGCAAGGAAACTAGAGCTACCAGGTCTATGTCACAGCTCTGCAAAATTTTGTTCTGCAGGTATCTTTTTGTAAGTTTTGTAGAGCTGTTTGGAAGTGCTCCCTAATATGCTTGCTCGTGAACTGATCAAACAAGAGATCCTCAACTTGAGAAGGTACATTTGACATTTAAGCAAGCTCTACGGTTCCTCCTTATTTTTGGGAACAAGCCATTTATCTCAAGCACCACAACTCACCACCAAGCTAGTTAACACGAGTTACAGACACACACTGAAGGTGCAGCGGGACACAGCTACCAACTGAAACGAGCATTTGGGGTCCAGCTTGTTTCCAGGTCATGTGTTTTACCCTGGGTTCAAACAAGAGTCACTGATCTAACGCATTTTCATTACTTTTTAAAATCTATAAAGACCATTTTAAAAACAGATTGGAATTTAATCACTAGTTACAGGATAAACACTACTAAGAATAAAAACATCAAATACCACAATTTAAACTAAGGTGGATTTCTGGATTTTTTTAAACTACAAAAATTAAGGGATGATGCCAATCCTACACAATCTGATTAAAAAGAAAAAAACACAAACTCTCCTGTTTTTCAGGCCAATATTCACTTGTGCAATTCAAATGAAAGTAAACAGTCAACACAAGCTACAGCACTAACTGAAATATATTTTCGTATCAAGGCAACGAGGAGTGGCTTTCCACAAGTTTAAATATTATTCAAAACAGACAGATGCTCACTCATAGCATTCTAGTTACGTACATATGTCATAAATCTATACAATTACATAAAAATCCTCCAGAAACGGCCAACACACTGGAGCCAGCGAGATCAGGACTGTAATCTTACATTTTAAAGGCTACTGCTAGCAAAGCTACACTAATCTTATTTAGTCTTGATTCCTTCAGCTTTCTCCCTGCCTCACTTTCTGCTCTAAAATGTTTAGCTAGGGGGAAAAAAAAAAAAAATTATTAATGTATTTTGTAAACATCTTGATTTATATTTTCTAAGTAAAATTTTTTTCACCTACTTACTAAATATTCAGTCTTAATCAACAAGATGATTTTCCTAAGTCTGCAAGAAAGTTAGTATCATATCCTTAAGCCACGATTCCAGATTTATAACCACAGCATCTGATTTGCTTTAAAAATAAAGCCAAAACCAGCTATGGCCTTGAAATGTGTTTGCAAGGACATTCTAGCGATTTTGGACTTCAACCACCACACTGCACAGAGCTCCTTCGTTATTTAAATTTGACTGCCAGAAGAGGAGCCGCTCAGCTTGCATCTCCAGGTTAATGCACTTCGATGGTCACCGCAGACGAGACAGAGATCTGCAGGCTTGCTTCTGCTTCGACGCCCCTGCGCTACACCTCTCCGAGCTGCCAGCCTGCAGCTCCCCGGACCGAGTTTAGTCGCCAAGGACCTTCTACTCAATCCTGCGCCTAATTAATGGGGGAACCGAAATCCAACAATTACCTTGCAAGCTCCGACATGCGACTAAGTTATAATTAGCAGACCGGCTCGGGCTTGTTCTGCCACTGCAAACAATTATTTGTTTTATTTTTTTGGTAAGAGTTCACGGCGGAGCGCGGTG